GAAAACAAGAGCTCTTTATATTGTAAATAACAGTACTTGAGACTTACTTTTTTTTGCTGGGATGGAGATCTGTATTTTAGACCTGTGCCTCAAGATGTTGAGCTCTACTCCTGTATAATAAAATTTTAAATTAACATCTACAAAAAAAGCAGTAGAGGACAAAATGAGTATTTTTAAACAACCAGCAAGATTCATTAGAAGTTGAAGCTTTAAATTAAAGAAGAGGTTAGGAGCCAGCTTGCATTTGTCCAAAGAGCATCAAACCTCCTGTGATCCAACCTGGTAAATGTTGCTCCTTGTTTTATTCTTTCAACTCCCACTGCAGAGACTGAGTCTTTTCCAATTAGCATTGCCTGTCCAGGTGAAAGATCCATGGTATCTACTCCATTGCTAGGGCAGTTAGACTGGTGGGTTATAATCACACGCTGGGTGATTTGTAGGTTTCTCTGTGTGGGAAATTTACTGCTCAGTGAGCTGTGGTGTGAATTTACAGTAGTGATAGCTTATTCCACTTCTCTTTTTAAATACAGTTGGGAACAAGCTCATTTGAAAGTGAACTTACAGTACTTAGAGTAGGTTACCCAGCAAATTACTCAGCTATAAATTCAAGATTCATTTGTGAAAAGGGATTGGGGGGTTTTTGGGTGAACAAAATTTTTCTTTTCATTGAATCTCATTAATTGAAATTTATGTGATGCTTGTGGTTTTCTTCTATTACGTTAACCTGGTCACTGTTGCTACTGTTATTAAGGTACATGAAAAAACAGTCAATTAAAAAAAAAACAACTATGGAAGTGCTATAGAACAAAGATGAAGTACAGAAGTAAGGCCTACAGCATGACTTGGGTTAACATTTTACCTAAGTTCTGTTCTAAATATGATGACAATATGCCTTAAGCACAAATGTTGTTATTGCTTGCTCTCATGAGGTACATATCCTATAATTGTTTGACCTTTCTGCATTCTGCATATACTGTAACATTAGAGGGGTGTGTCTTTCTTATTGGCACGGTGGATATTGAAAGAAACATCTTATTAAATGGAGAAAAAAAGTGGCTTATACAATTCACGGAAACCCAGTAAATGGCCAAGAGACAAGAGAGCAAGTAGCTCCATCGGAACACCAAGCAAGTCCTATGGTCCAGCTTGGATGGGAGCTGCCTTGAAGGAGTTTTTGGTTCCTTTGTATGAAGACTGGTGGTTTCGTTGTGTCAGAAACCACCTATAATTATTTAATGCTACTAATTTCCTCCAGCTTCTAGAAAGACAAAGTTGTCATGTACTTCTTAAAGCACACAGGCTTCTCGTTTAAGATTTCATTTGAAACATTTCTTCGTCCTAATTCATCTGTAAATATGGTGTTGTAATACTTGCTTACACTTAACAGAGTAGCTGCCAGTGCTTTCAGGCTCTTTAATGAAAGGCACCTTCATTGCAAATTAATTTACGAATTTTAAGAAACTCTGGGTGTGTTCAGTGACAGAGTTCATGTGAGTTTGCCAGTCTATTGCCCTTGTAATATGAAGCTTCTAAATGTTGGATGTGAAATCCTAACAAATGTGCTTATTTTTGGGTTAACCTATGGCAGCCATAATTTTTTTTTCCCTCTATCCCCTTTCTTTGTTAGACATGAATATTCCTGAAATCTCGGGAGCAGATAGTGATGCAGGTTGATGATTTCAAATATTCTTCCTTAACAGGCATCTTTTTGCTCCACCACTCATTGCTGTAAGATCAGCTCCAGGTCCAGCAATGAAAGGAATACAATTATATGACCAACTGCAAACAGTGAATTTTAGGGCTACCCATCAACACATGCTTAAGTTGAAAAATCTTTTAAGCACTGCAGTTACCCCAGCTTTACAGTAGATGGCACTTTCACCAAAACACTTCAATCTCAGTTCACATATTTTCTGATTCCTTCCTTTTCACCTGTTGAGCTATCATTTTGTGTTCCTTTTCCTTGAAAGAATTCCTTGCTGGAATTCTTGATTACTGTGACTTCTCTACTGTTCCCAGATATATTAGTGATGTGGTGGAACTGCATCAGTGCCATTCACAGGTGTTCTTTCTGTGATTACAATGCCCTGTTCTTCAGTCCTCACCCTTTCCTGGTGGCTGAATGGGCAATTGAGAGCTATGGAGATTTCAGAGCCGAAGCTGGCATGCCACTTGACTTTGTCAATGCTCATCATATGTCAACCTATTGTAACATCAGCAGTATTTTAAAAAAACCCAAACCTGCTGCTAAAGATAAATGTAGTCTGTACTATTGCAAGTACTATATAGTACAGAAATTGAAAAATCCTCTCTAAACTATTATCCCATAGATGCTTGTGCAGTAAGGTCCAAAGTCGAGGTCTTTAAAGAAACTTAATTACCTAAATGGCTTAAATTCTGGATGTACCTAAATCCTCCTAACTGTGCTATCCTGCAGAATTTTCAGGCTTGCATCAGGCATATCATCTGATTTGTACATTTCAGGGAATGTTGGATGTGTAAGATATCATAGTAATCCAAAGAAGACAGCTTGAGTGAACAACGTATAAAGTGTTAGGGAAAAAGATAGAGGCAGAGGGGAAAAGCACCCTCAGCTGGATCCAAGGCACTATCAACCTCAGCTTGGCATACCTCGCCATCAGGCAGGGAGGGGAACTGTTTCTATCCAGGAGACACCTTGGATGGATGGCAGCAACCTGCCTTGGATGTTAGCAACTGGGACACGTCTGTTATTTAGAGAAGGACATAGGCTGAGAGGCAAAACCTTTCTTTGAACCATGTCTCCGTTTCCAGTTTGTGTTCAATCCCCCACGTCTCTTTCTTTAGGGTGGTAGCCCAAATCTAATTCCTTAGTAGGGAAGAGGGGTAAGAATAGACTGAGTGCACCTACTGAGCAAGTATGCTATGATTTTCTACCTCGTAAAAGATTCTTACTTTAGGTGTATGAGACTTGGGCTTGAGTGAGAGAGCCAACCAGTCTGATAGCTGTGAGCTGGCACCAGCAATTGGATGGCTCTGCAAACACTGATAGGCAGGAACTTGGCTATCTGAGAGTCTTTACTTTGGGGCTGGGCATCTATATGATGATCCTGCAGAGACAGATAGGCACCAAAGCAGCATCAAGGATCTGAGCAAGCATACTTACTGAAGCCAGTGACTCATATCCATACAGAAAGTGTTCTACTCCTGATTCAGGTCTTTATTATTTTAAACTTTTAATTAAGTCTCTTTGAACCCACAGGTGCAGTCACTTACTGATGCTTATTTGTTTTCTTTCATTTGTCACAGGCTTTCATTTACCAAGGTCTTTCAGTCAGAAGATGGAACTAGATGTATTTGAGGGGATTTTCATGTATTCTTGGAAACTGTGACAAACTTTGGCACTTTCCTGTTCTCTGGATACAAGTATGAGCATCTGTTTGTAGGCAGGTCTCTGATAGGTGACGACCATTTTGCAGGTTGATTAAAAGTTGATTATGTGTTTATTGCTACTAAATTGTTTCTTATGAAATAGTATTGGGTTTAATTTTTCATTTTTCAGTGAGTTGAAATTTAATAGTCAAATGGCAAATACTAAGAAAAAGAAAATTTTCAGACATATGAGATTATTGAAATACTTAGAATTCACACTTTCTGACTAGTCAAATCTCTCCAGTTTTCAAAGTATGCACACATTGAATATTATATTCACTTTCATATGTATCAGTCATATAGATCTTTTAACCACTCTTCCAAACCCACTGTTGACGTGCTGATTTTTTCTTTGCTTTAATTTCTGTGAAGTTATTTCACAATACCTGAGCTGTGAAATTATGCTTAATAAGTTATTTCACTTAGTTAAGCTGTTTCATGTCACAATTTCTTAAAGCACTGTCTAGAATCCAGGCAGTTATGCAAATCACTGAACTTCAGCCATTGTGTCTGAATCTTTCTACAGCAATGAAGGCTTTTGTGGTTTTACGTGTGTTAGGGGGTTTTTGTTTGGTTTTAGGTTTGTTGGGGGGGTTGTTTTGTTTTAGGGTTGTTTTGGGTTTTTGTTTGTTTGTTTGTTTTTCAGTCCAAAGTAGAATAACTTTGAGGGATTCCAAGGACAGCTTGTGGAGTAAAGCCTGGTGTGGAGGCATAATAAGGATAGGAGGAAACTGTAGCACATGCTCATTCTGGTTTAGCTAGAAGAAATTTCAATCCCTGTCTCTTACTTGCCAGCTGATGTCCTCTTCACTGAGTGTGCAGAATAAACACTGTTGTGTTTATTATTAAGTATGTCTGGAACCTGAATAAAATAGCACTTTTTTGTGTCAAAATATTTAAATGGTTTTTATTCATGGAAGAAAAATTGCAACTGGTTTTCATAATTTCAGGGGGAGGGAGGTAGAGTAAGCTAAGAAGACGCAAAACTGATGGTGTACTATAAAATAAATAAACCCAAAATATAAATAAATTCTTTAGTTTTTATATTACATTTTACCATCAACTTCTGAAACATTTAATGCATGGTCTCTGTATATTTTACAGTTTAGCTGGAAAAGTTTGTAACTGCTCATTTTCCTCTGATCTCCTCTTGGAGGGAGGGCTGTGCAGACTCTCTGAAAGCTGGAACTTCTGCTTATATTATAGTAAAAATGTCCACTGGTGATCATATTCTGAGAGTCTAAATTCATCTTCAGACTAATGTTCATTATTGTCTTGCTGTAGGTGTCTGAAGATGTCTGTTCAGAAGGGAACAGTAGGTCCAGGGATTTATGGGAAATTTGGATGGCTAAAAGTAATGGCTTACTCTGAAATGTGTTTAGAATCGTTCTGATATTAAAATATTTTTGAGACAAAGCAAGTTGTGGGACACTGAAAGTACTATGCTATAGGTGAGGTACCAAAATCTCTCCCTCCCTTCAGCCGCAGGACTCTCCCTAATAATGCTGGAAGTTAAAATGAATCATTTATGAGCATCAGTAGACACATGGGTGGGGCCTCTTTGTAAACTGGTATTTTGTTGATGCAACATGTGTGACAGCCTCTTAGTTCTGAATATAAATGTTACTGAGAGGAAATTAGGTTGGTTTGCAGAGGAGATCAGCCAGACCTTGCAGTGCATCTTGCTGAGGAGCAGGTACCTCCACCAGTACTGTGCTTCAGATACTAGTACATGTAGAAGAAAAATGGAAGGTGAGTGTCTTGAAACTTTGCTATCACTTGAATCAGGACTAAAAGCATAAATAGTTAAACAATCAGGTGTAAAGACATAAAAAATTGCACATGTTTTTGCATATGACATCAAGTCTAGGGATAACTTGTTTATTTGGATGTTATTTGTGGATTTAGTGAAAAAGGAAAAAAAACCTTTTGCAAAAAACTTTTCATAAAGGAAAAAGAGAGCTATTAAGAAGATCTGGTGAAATGAAAGCCAATTCTGAGAATAAGTAAGAGAATGGAAAAAAATACATTCTATTTTCAGCAAAAACTACAAAGTACTAGTTTTCAGTACTCTCATGCTAGAAATGATTATTTCACAATGAATATGTGACGTATTCTGTCTTGAATGAAGGCAAAATGTGAATTGATAAAGAAAATCCAGCAACTGGCATTGATGGTTGAGTTTCTACCAGAGACATAAAACCAGTAAGAGATGTGAAATTGATTAGCCTTTAGTATTTATTTTGAGCTGCCTCTGCTTAAGAAAGCAATCGTTAGCTCCTTTGTGATCCAGTTGCAATACTTAATCTGATAAGCAAACTGTGGGCTGGCTTTAGAGAACTTCCCTGGGAAACATGTAATATCTTAACTTCCTGATGTTCCGGTTCAGCTGGATTAATGAGTGGATGAAAAGTAGTTGTCTTCGTTTATAAACGCCTCCAGAGGACAGGCAAGGATCAGGTTTTTTCAGTGTTCTTGGCCACAGAAATTCAGGATGTGTGCTATAAGCACTTTCTGTTCAACCAGAACACTTTGTGTTATGGTTGACAACTGTTATTAAGATATGAGATTTTCAGTTCAGTTCTGTTGCTCTTTCCTATCAGCAGGTAAGATGTATTCATGAGCAATAATGATGTAATTCACTGCCATAGATTTGGTTGTTCTTGATAGTGTGCGTGTTTTTAACGTGGGTAGTGCCCAGGTCTGCATTTGATGGTGATCTGTGTTGAAGAGATGAATGACCAATTCATTACCAAATTTAAATAGCTAGATGAAAAATTAATTCAGGATGTGATTCTGGAAATCTCCACTGGTTTGTGTTAAAAGTTTCTTGGTCCCATGGGCTTAGCTATGAGTCTCCTTTTATGCGGATTCACCCTTGGTTCAGGATGGGAAAAATTAGTTTCCCTTAAATACCAACTCTGTATTCAACTTGGTACCAATACAGGTAGAGAAGTTGCATTGTTCAGTTTTTCTGTAGACGTAGCAGGACCAAACTTAACCCTTTAGAATTAAAATAAGACACAAGACTTACTTCAGCAAGACAAATTGCCAAAACTGCTGAAAATCTGTAGGTCTCATTGTCTTCAATTAGAGTGAAGCAGTTTTGAAAATAAAAAGTTGTATGCAAATAAGCAAAAAGAATGTTGCCACCCATCCTTCTGGCACCACCATCATGAGTGCTCTTATGAAATGACTGATATGCAGGCAGGATGCCTAAGGGGGAATCAGCTAAGATTTTTGTCAAGCTAATCATAGCACTTGGGATAGATTGTCAGCATTTTTTAAATGTCACAATTTGTGAATATTTCCTTGTCCATTAAATTCCTCAAAGCTGCCTGCAAACTTTTTATGACTTTTGGAAGTGCAGACTGAGACATTTGCCTGCATATTTAACAGTATTTACAATTTTGGGCAGACTTTTATATGTATATATTTTTTCTATAAATCATTTAGAGTGCCACTTAAGCTTTCAAATACCTGCATTTGTTATCAAGTCTTTTTATTTATTCTATTTACTTTATTATTTTATTACTTGCATATAAAATCCTCTCAAATGATAGCATGTGTGAAACATTTGCTGTCTAGCTATGGTTGAAAAGTAACTGCAGACAGCGTGTTCTAATATGGAGAGAATATTACAATACAAAATTAATTTTTCAAATAGAGATACTGATATCATCTCTCAGCATCAGGTATTTATAAAGCAAGAGGGCACTATATAAAAGACATGAAACTTGTGGCACAGCTTTATAAATCAAAGAGTTAGACAAGTTTCCATCTGCAAGCTAGAAAAATGGTGAACTTGTAAGGATACTTTTATGTAAGTACCTCTCACACTCTGAATTTTGAATGAAGTCCTGAATGACTTTTTTGAAAATTAGCTCTGTCCTTCATAATTATCTACTCTTCCACCTAATCTTAACCACAGCCAGTGATGGGAACTCAATTATATGTTTGGTTCTTTTTCCCTATGTGTTCTTTTCTCTGTCCTACAGTCATTGAGCTGGGAGAAGTCGACTTGAACTGTCCTTCCAACTGCCAAATACATAATACCCATTTCTTCGGAACTGACAGACAGATAATAAGGAGAGGACAAGCCTTCAGCTTTTATGCTCGTTTCCAAAATCGGGAATGGGATGACTCCGTGGACCAGGCTATTTTCACTGTGGAGACAGGTAGTCATTCCCAAACACTCTGTAGTCTTTTCAAGTCCTTTACTAGTAATTAGTATTTCCCACGATCTTCAGTGACAGACTGTATCTACTTGTTCATCTTCTGTGTGCAGAGTCTACCTTCCTCTAAATCAGACAGTTCTTCTAATATGTAAAGTTTTCTCACTTTGCTACAGAAGTGACAAGTAAAAAAGAAATCTACCTTTGGGAAATTCGCCTTGCAAATGATGCCTAAGCAAATTACTTGCTTTTTACATGTGCTTTGTTTAGTCTGATGGAAGTTGTTTTTATTTTCATGAAAAGGCCTCAGACCCTGTGAATCAAATGAGACGAAATGTACCTTCCCAATGGGCAGATGTCTGGATCAAACCTGCTGGAGTGCTTCCTACAAAATTCATCAGCCAAAATGCATCAATATCAGTGTGTTTCCTCCCTCCAATGTCTGCATTGGCCGCTATATTCTCAATATGCAAATCACATCTTGTGGTCACACATATCAGCGATGTCTTGGAGATTTTTATGTCCTTTTTAACCCTTGGTGTGCAGGTAAGGATTCTAGTGACTATCAGCTTTAAGAAAATTGCTAATGATGAGTAAAAACATTAAACATATTTATTATTTAGCTGGTAAGTAAAGGACAAAGTCACAGAAATCATGAGAAACAGGGAGGGATTTTGGTTTCAGGGATTTCTGTTTTTTTTTCCCTCCAAGTTCAAGGCTGTCTCAAACTAGGGTTTTGATTTGTTTTCTTAATGATAGTAAGGATGAGACAGAATTTTTCTGCCCCACTTTTACAATGTCTTGAGAAGACAGAAAGCAATGGGGACAAACTGAAATACAGGATGTTCATCAAGAAACACATCAAGAAACTGTAAGGATAACCGAGCACTGGCACAGGTTGCTGAGAGATGTTGGAGATATCCTTGGAGATACTCAAAAGCCATCTGGATGTGGTCCTGGGCAACTGGTTGGAGGTCAAGCCAGATGGTATCCATCCGTTCCAACCTCAACCATTTTGTAATACTTTGAATTCTGTGTTATCACTATGAAATACTACAGCACAAATATAAATTAAATTCTGTAGATCTGCCTGTGCTATCAAGCAATTCTAGAGTCTGTGGGACTTTGATTTTTATCAAATCAGCACAGACAATGTGAGTATTTGCCATGCAATGATTTTGAAGATACACAACTCAATGTGCTTAGTGTTTGACTTGTAGAACAGCTTAGTGTGAAGATAAATTGCAAGCTCTTTCATTCAAGTGTACTGCAGCAGGGAGAGACTTAATGAAGATAATATCTAACTCTAAGTAAAAATGAATTCTCTGTGAATGTTTAAAGAACCCTGCACCCTTGAACATGCTTAAAAGAATAAATCAATTTCATAGGAAAAGAAAAGGAGATCCAGTGAAGCAGAAGATACAGAAGTGCTAGAAATGTACATTTTGTCTGATAGCTCTGCATCTTTTCCAGATGACCCTGTATATATGGACAATCAGGCCCATAGAGAAGAATATGTTCTGAATGAACATGGAATACTGTATGAAGGAGTTCACAAGCATATTACCTCTCGACCATGGCACTTTGGACAGGTACTTTTTGAAGACTTGTTCAGAAACAGGTGTCATCCATACATGTGTTTTCAAGTGTTAAATAATAAATACGAGTTTAATAAATAAATCAAGTGTTATCCATATTTTTTCAGAAATACATGCTATATTTGTAGTGTGAAGGTTTTTAGGATCAGTCCAAACTATGCATATACAATACAAAATGTCTGAGAATCTCACTGCAGCCAAGTAACTTCAAAGATTTCTGTAGCAAAATTAAGGAAACTGCAGAATGTTCTGGGAACAGGTGAAACCAATATTGTGCTTCTGAATGAAAACTATTCCATTGGTCAAACATAAGTAAAAATAGCATGTTTTTACCTTTGTTTTTCCTTCAGGCAAATAGACAAAACCATGCAGACCACTAGAACCTGTGATTGATTAAAAAAAAAAAAAAAGAAAAAAGGGCAGGGTTGGAGAGAGGGCAGCTCATATAAGTAAAAAAAAAAAGAGTGGATTATTGACAAGAAAGCAACTTTATCAATGTCAGAATACCATGATGCCTATGTTAACCCCTCTTTCCTCAGTTTGAAGATGGAATTCTGGATATCTGCTTGAAGATTCTAGATATGGGCGCAAGTTACCATCACGGCTCTGATCGTGACCACTGTTGGCGCAATGATCCTGTGCATGTCAGCATGGTGGTAAATCACATGGTAAGGCCTCTAGTGGTGTGAGACCTCTGAATAGATTGGATCACACTTCATTATATTATAGAAGGACAAACTGCACTGTAGTCTAACACAGTGTGGTAGCAGGGAAAAACCTTTCTGTGTGTGCTCAGATTCACAGGAAATATAGATGTATAATGCTGATGATTTTGAGACATGCTTAGGAGGTGAAGATATGGTCAGCTATTTTTTGTTTTCTCTTTCTAGATAAGCAGCCATACCACTAACAGTATCATGAAGATTCCAGAAAACAATGATTACCTGAAAGGAACGAAGCCATTTTCTTGGAATGGAAGTGTCCCTATTCTTCAGCAGTGGTACAATGGCAGATGCAGGCCTGTCAGATATGGGTACTGTGGATCTCTTGCTTCAGTAATGTGCACAGGTATGATATTTCAGTTTGTCCTTACCTAGTTTATCCAAAAAAAGAAGATTGAAAACCAGGATCAAAACTCTCTGACCCTAAAAACTACTGGAAGAATATTAGTATAAAGCATTTTACTAGAATAGAAATGGAATATTTTTCTCATGTTATAATATGGCATGGCTCCTCATAGAGTGTTTACTGTCAACCTATTGCTTTCCTATACAGGCTGAAAAGCAAGAAGAGAAGCAGATCTGTCTTTACTGTGACCTTTATACTATGCAGTTGTCAATACTGTAACTTTTATTAAAACACAGAGCAAGTGCGGCTTCATTGAATCATAGAACAATTGGGGTTGGAAGGGACCTTTAAAGGTCATCTAGTCCAACCCTCATCATGGAGCCAAAATTTATCCTTTGAGTGAGGTTTGAAGGATGAGAAAAAACTAAGTTATGAACAGGAAGAAAATTTCTCGCAATGTCTCCTCCAAAACATAAAAGAATCAGGCTATTTTTTCTTTTACTGCAAAGGATGAGAAAATAGTGGACTAAACTCTACAGAAAAAAAAAGATCTGAGTCCCAACTTCATACCATTTATTTACTGAACCTGCTTCTACACTGAGCAAAGTTAAATTCAAATCCCATAGATGAATCTATATGTAATATACCATTTCTTTATGAGAAAAAAGTAGTGATTATTAAAGTTTATTAATGCAGGCTTAGGTTAATGGTTTCTAAATTTTAAACGGGGTTTCTTTGCGGTTTTTTTTGTTGTGGGGTGTTTTTGTGGGGTGATTTTTTCTGGGTTTTATTGCTGTTGTTGTTTTGAGGATTGGTTTGGTTTGGGGTTTTTTGTTAGTTTAGTTTTGTTTTAAAGTTTTGGAAGTTCCTTTCTGCTAGGCTTTTTATTTTCAGACTACTTTTCAAGAACTTCAAGTTTCGAAAATAAAATCACTGCCTCCCAAATATTGGCCCCTATCCCTTGAATTTACATAATTGCGAAGTAGAATATAAGATAATTATTTATAAAATAAGTGAAGGATTTTCCAGATTAATTATGACTTGTAATGACCCATTAATATTATTTTCTTACAGTGATGAGGTGTTTGGGAATTCCAAGCCGTGTTGTTACGAACTTCTGTTTTCCATGCTCAACTGAGAATCCCCTTGGTATCAATGAGATTTTTGACTGTACTGGCAAAATCCTGTGTGGCAAAGACAAGCTATGGTAAATAAGAAAAATATCAAGCTCTTTTGCTTTTCAATAGAATTAAATGATAGAAAGACTACTATAAATCTAGCAGATTGGTGTATCTCTTTCTTTGGTGTGGTAAGGCTGTTCAGTTTCCAAATAATGCATTTCAAAAGCATGAAATTAATAAAGAGGCAGTCTTCTCAATGAGATTTTCAAACAATTGCAAGGGAAATTTTATCACTGATTAGGATGATTATCTAAAGTCATAATCCCTTGGTTGATAACTATGTTGTCTTCCTGATGCTCCTTATAATGGGTTAATGGATTGCTTCATTCTTATAAAACTTCTGATTCATGGTCATATAACTATGACATTATCACTCAGCATAACAGGATTTCATGTTTTCACCCTTGATCAGTATGTTCATAGTTTCACTGCACCAGAATTTCGTTTGTATTCAAATCTCATCTGTGAGACCTTTTAATGAATTTTCTGCCATATCACATGTCAAAAAGATTAGGTTCAACTGAAATACTGAGGGAATGAGGATCTTACTTCAGCATAAAATACTTAAGGGTATATTCTTTGTTAAGCCATTAAAAAGACTAAGTATGTCATTTTCCTCTAAGGAACCAGGAGGAAAATAAACTACTTAGACCATGTTGGCATGTTATTTACTAAAAGAAAGGGTTGTTTCAAGCATGTTTTGCAGTCAGGTCTGTGGGGTTCTGGTACAAATTTCTAGCTTGAGTGATATAAAGTGAACAAAAGAACTCCTGTCCCCAAACATCATTCAGCTGAAGATTATCCCTGGCATGGTTTTCCTCCTTCCTCCTTCAAAAGGCATCTAACTTGATAATCCAATGTCTTTAATTGTATTTTCCTGCATCCTACAGGCAATACCACTGCTGGAATGAATCTTGGATGGCTCGCAGAGACATAAATCAGTGCTGTGGTGATTGGCAGTGTCTGGATCCAACACCTTTGGAAACAGGCAGAGGTAACTGTTTACTGTAATTGTAATCATTTTTCTCAGATTATGTTGTTGAGTTTCTCTACTACTTAGGGTACACTGTATTTTCTTGTTCTCTGGCTTAGGTTCAGCTTGCAGTGGCCCTACATGGGTTCGAAGCATCAGGGAAGGGGAACTGGACCTGGATTATGATGGTCATCATATGTTTTCTCGAGTAAATTCAAACTATGTTGGTTGGCTTTCCCAAAACAATGCCAAAAGAACAAAATTTTTCTGCGATACTTGGCCATGTGGACAACGTCTAATCACCAAGAGTGTTGGCAGTGAACAATTCGAAGATATCACTGGGGCTTACAAGTATGAACTAGGTATGATATTAAATGGGTTAGAGGAAACTTTATATGCTAATCACATAAAAGTATCAATGTAATCTCTCCTGTGTTAAAATGTGTAGAACAATCTGAAGTTGTCTTTTTTTTTTTTTTGAAGAAGAGGAAGATACCTTTCTGTTCAAAGATCTTGATTTTTATACTTCTAAACATATTTAGACGATTCAAACAAAGCACATAGTAATTACATCCATTTAGGATAGGATGGGATAGGATAGGATAGGATAGGATAGGATAGGATAGGATAGGATAGGATAGGATAGGATATAGGATAGGATAGGATAGGATAGGATAGGATAGGATAGGATAGGATAGGATATTTCAGTTGAAGGACCTACAGTGATCATCTCATCCAACTGCCTCACACTTCAGGACTGACTAAAAGTTAAAACATACTATTAAGGACATTGTCCAAATGCCTCTTTTTAAGGCACTGACAACCATGGTTCATTGATCACCTCTCTAGGAAGCCTGTTCCAGTGTTTGACCAGCCTCAAAAAAAGAAATGCTTCCTAATATCTAGTCTAAACCCTGGCACAGCTTTGAATCATTCCTACGCATCCTGTCACTGGGAAGCAGGAAAAAAAACCTCAGCACCTCCTTTTACACTTCCCTTCCTCAGGAAGCTGCAAAGAGTAATGAGGTCACCCCTCAGCCTCCTTTTCTCCAATTTAGACAAACCCAAAATCCTTAGCTGCTCCTCACAGGACATGCTTTCCAGCCCTTTGAATACCACTATTCATATGTACATGTTTTGGTCTCATCTGTACAGAAGTTTAAAATGTTAGCAGACTTGAGATAATCTAAACCCACGCAAATTCTTTTAAACTGAGGATTAATGTCTTACTTGTTTCTTCTCGTACCAGGTTTGTCAGAAAATACGCCTACTTACTAAATTCATGTATTATTAGAATATTCTGCTGTTCTTACTTTGAGCTACTGATTTTCATGTTCCTGTAGTAGAGAGGAGTTCAACCAACAGAATCGCCTAAATGAATGAAGAGTGAATCACAGTTGATTGTAAAATTGCAGGCTCTGTGGGATTTTCTTTTTTTTTTTGGTTGGTTGGTTGGTTTTGGTTTGTTTTGGTTTATTGCTGGTTAAGGTGGTTTTGTTGGTTTTGTTTTGTTTGTTGGGGTTTTTTGTTTGTTTTGGGGTTTATTTTGGTTAGGTTGAGTTTCTTTTTTACTGGAATGAAAAAGGAAGCAATTGATACTTTCTTTCTTTGAATTGTGTATTTTTCCTTTTGAGAGACGTGGTAGCATTTCATATTCACTTTTGTCCATATAAAGGGTTATATTTTGAGTTATATTTTGGGGGAGTTGGTTTTTTTGTGAGGGTTTTTTTTCTCTGATATTTATTTTCTTGTCTGCATTCAGACTGCCATATTTTGTGTTTCATTGTCTGATAGATTTGTTGTATACCAACCTACTACTTCAGATTTCAAGAAGGCAAAGAAATAAACTTAATTATCTTTATTATTTGGGTAGATTAATAGATTTCTCCTGCCTCCAGCAGATTCATTATCATGTATCTTCTTCAACAGGTTCTGTGAAAAATAAAGAAGCCTATTACCGGGCTTACAGAAGAATTTACCCAGGGTATTGCAATGCTTCCAACTGTCATATTGAGAGAGAGTTATCATCTCTGAAAAACCCATTTTTGAGTGACTCTGGTATTAACATGAGGTTAAAGATGGCTAACTGCCCAATGTATGGTGAAGATGTCCAGCTGCACTGGCTGCTTGAAAATTTGCGTAATGAAAACAAAACCCTGAAGTTTAATTTGTGTGCACAAATTATAACCTACAGTGGTTGCCCAATGGATCAATTTTGGAAAGATAGTGTGAATATCACATTGGGTCCAAGAGAAGGTAAGAATGTGAAATTGTCTAATAACCTGTTCTTTTCAGGAGACAATTGGTTTTTAGGATTTGTGGAGACTTTCTAATAGTGGTGGGAAGTGAAATGCATACAGTGTTAAATATTGACAGCTGAAGTCCCTTTAGGGTGACCACTCAACAATCCACACATGTTAACCATGTTAATACATGTACAGCATTTATTTCTTTGGCCAGAAGATATTAGCCAGTGTAAAACACTTGTTTAGACCACCAAAATAAATTTTTCTAAGCGTACCTTATGCTGGGAAGTGCAAAGGTGCAGTGGAACATAAACGCTTATTTTCATGACTAATATTTTTATTCTGGAAGAAAATAGACCCCTTTAATTAAATCACCTCACTATAAGACAAAGTTTCATACTGATATTAAAATTCTGTTTTACCAATCAAATTTGCCTACACTTAAATTACTGGTTTAAGAATTGCACTGGAATGATAGTTTCCAAATTTTGAGTAATAATAATAATAACCAACTAATCTCCTTGTATATGCACTGATACATTAACTGAAAACTGTGAAACTAATTGTTGAAGATAGCAATATATCACCCTAAGTCAGGAAAAATCCTGTCTGTTTTCAAAGATACTATGATCACTTAATATTTAATTAAGTCACTGTAAGTGTCAGTTAAACTTTAGGAGGAAGGAAAGTGGAAATATTGATCAATAAGTCAGAAAAAAATTTAAATGCATTTACATTACAGTGAAAAAAATTCCACTGTGTATATCGTATCACCAATATGGACCATATCTCTGTGATCACAACATTATGAAAGTAGTTGCTGTCTCAGACCCAGAATGTGGAGAAGTTCTGATGGTGAGCAGGGATATCATAATCAACAGACCACCTGTTATTGTCAAGGTAAAAAAATTTAATTATGGGATTTGTAATCTAAGGAACAGATTTAGGGACTCTTATTGGCCACTTCCTAGGTACAATGCCAATAAACTTGTAATACATTAAATTTTCCTTTTATTGTATTTTTTATTTTAGTAAGATTGGTGTGATTTATATTTCATTGTTAAATTTCTAAGGGTTACAAAATATAAAATGTGCTTGTTTATTTTCTGACTAGCTACTGAGCCAGCCCAGAATGAAAATACCATGTACGGCAGAGATCTCTTTCTGCAATCCTCTCCAGGAAGATATGAAGAACTGTGTAATGACCTTAGAAGGCTGTGGTTTATTCAAAGAGCCAATGACCATTGAGTAAGATCATCAGTTATTTAAATGGGAATAATATTGGGGCCTGATTAAAGTGTGAAAAATCAAAGCAGGTTTTCAGGAAGACAATAGTTCTGATGTTTTTTTGGTGTTTAACGCCTGAACAGGACTTTGGGCCCCTTATTACTTTGAGCTTCCATTAAAAGCCTCACTCCTCTTGAAACTGATGGATGATTTAAATCTGGCAAGATATGTGGCTGCTTCATTTTTCTCAAGATTTAATTTAAGTGGATGTATCAAATTTTTGTCTGTAAGGGTATGCACTCTTGTCTTTTAAAGTAGTACTAGATGGGGCCCCCATCCAGTACAGTCCTATTGAGTTTATAATAGAATTCCTCTAAATATTCATGAACTGACACCACATATAGGAACAATTAGAGAACAACAGTGAGATACAGCAATATGTATTCTAAGCTCATAACACATTAATCACAGGAAACTGGAAACTTGCAGGATGCTATAACATCCTAGGGAAAGTAGCTGTTCATTAATATGCATTGCTGCTCTTCATGACAAGGAGAACTGACAAAAGTATGACTAGTTTTGAGGGGAAGCAATTAGGAATTGTTCTCACTGAATAATAATGAACTCGATTCCACAAAGCTGCCTGATCGAACTTAGACTGCTGGAAATGGTAAGCAGTAAATGCATCTTTGAGGCAGAACGGTGCTATATTTTTGAAGAATTCAAGAGAGTATTACAAATGATTTTCCAGTTCCAATTACAAAATTGACTATGGGAGTTTAAAAAAGACTTCTCTTGGGACAGAATTTCTTTCTATGTTTTTCACAACAGAGAATGTTTTTTTGGAGAAGGACAAGAATAACAAAGTTGTCAGGTAACAGTTTGTACCTAGAAACATGCTGAAGCGAATCAAGTCTAATTTTGTGTGCTCATCCTGTAGTACTTCAGATCTCTGAGCTACGCAGGGTCCTAATTCTTTTCCTTCCCTTGTTCCAGTTTGGGAACGCTTGCAGCCAACCAACAGGCACGGACCATTGTGGAGTTCACACCTTACAGGCTTGGCAGCCACCGGCTCCTGGCCAACTTGGGATGCCACAAGTTTGCCTACTGCAAGGGATGTGCCAAGGCCGAAGTGTGTTGTTCCACAGGCCAGAATGGTGTCCTGCCTCACAGCCAGAACGGGTCACTCCCAGTGTGTGAGAACAGTTCCCTCCCCATGAATGGCTCCGGGCCTGTCCCCGTGGCAGATCCTGCATTCAACTCCATGTGTGAATATATATGTATCCCAGTGTGCAACCCAAACTGCAGTGCAAGTGGCCAGCCTGTGTATGACTTCGTGTACCTCCCTGCGGGCCATCCCTTATGCAACTCCATCTGCAGCCAAGGCTTCAATCCAAGCATCAATCCTGGTTTTGAGATGGGAGGTGATCCTGGCTTCCGTGTCATATGTGAGACTGTACCTCCTGCTACGTGTGCTCCGATGGCTCCATCCATGTATGGCTCCATGCCTGCCCCAGCATCCAACCCCGTGTGCACCCCTATGCCACATGTGGTGTTCGAGACTGGTCCTGCTCCCACGCACCCGCCTGGGGGTGGAGGGGGGCCAATGTCCTATTCTGTCTCTGTCCCCGCGAATAATGCGGTGAGTGCGTTGCTGACCCACTTCATGGCTGGCCCCAGTCCTACTGTGGGAACCCAGGCAGTCCCTACCCCTATGTCTGCTCCGCCATCCTACTCCATGTGCTCTCCAGTAGTCCACACCATTGGCAGTCCCATGCCATCTCCAGCTCCCCTTTCAGTGCCCGGTGCCTCCATCTCACATGTTGTCTGTGGCTCTACACC